AAAAAAAAAGAAAAAAAAAAATAAGAAAAAACGTTCAAGAAGACTATAGAAAATCATTAAAAGTAATTAAACCTACCTTTTAATTTAACATATTTTAAATTGGTAATGTTAATTTCGGTTTTTCAGCCAGCTGTAAAACTACCAACATACTAAGTGGAGCTGTTTGCTCCGTGATATGTTTTACTGTTATTGCTGCTCGAAGAGCATAAAAACTCTTTGTGTACGAAAGAGTTGGGGAGATCGGTGATTCTCGAACTAGATCGGTTTTACCGCCTGAAGAACATGAATCCTCATAATCTGTTAAACAAGAAGTAAAAAGTAATGTTAAAAAAAAAGAAACGAAAAAAATTAAAAAAGAAACGTTAAGAAGACTAGAGAAAAAAATTAAATATAATTAAACTCACCTTCAATTTTAACATTTTCTAAATTGGCGATGGTAGTTTCGGTATCTGCCGGCTGTAAAACTACTGACAGATCAAGTGGAGCTGTTTGCTCGGAAATATCTTCAACTGCTGTTGCTGCTCAAAGAGCATCAAAACTCTCCGTGTACGAAAAGTTGGGAAAGAGATCGGTGACTCTCGAACAACTTCGATGTCACCAACTGAAGAACACGGTCTTGACATATGATTTTCAAAATGATCTACATAGTGTCTCGAACAAAAAAAAATTTTTTTCTTGAATAATATTAAAAATAATGGTAAGAAGAAAAAAATAAGAAGGAGAAACATTTAAGCAAGAATAGAGAAAATAATTAAAAGTACTTAAAATCACCTTTAACTATTAAATTTTCCAAGTTGTCAATATTGGTTGTGGTTTCTTCTGACTGTAATACAACCGACAGATCTAGAGGAGCTATTTGCTCCGCAACGCATTCTGCTCGAAGAGCGTCAAAATTCTCCGTGAATGGAGAGATCAGTGATTCTCGAACTTCAATTAATTTTAATGATGTAAATTTTGATGGTAATAAAAATAAATGAATGAAAATGAAAAACGTTTAAAGAAAAAAAAAAAAAAAACCTCACCGATAACTGCAGAGTTTTCATCATAAGCTTATGGAAGTATTGATTCCACGCAAAAATTGGCATTTATCAGTTGTTTAGGAAATATTTCATCGAAGATATTAATAACACTAGGCGGCATCTCGTTTAAAAAATTTTGGAACTCCAAATCCTCTTCGAGTTTAATTTCGTTGGTCTGATAAACTAGTCACGTTCTAGCCGTTGCAATAATATTTTACTGAATGGTTAAAAGTACTGTTTCTGGATGATGGACATCAAAGTACTACTCAGCATTTCTTATATTTAGAGCAACTACTCTGATCCAATAAGAAAACAGCTGCGTTATACAAGGATGCAAGTGCAATACCAAAACAGCAGTTAGAAAAAGATACAAGTGAAACATCCACCTCCGCAGTCCCATCCCTTCAAAAAAGTGCAAAGTATGTGAAACTATGTTTTGTACCTATGGTATGCACAAAAACCCTCACCTTTGGTTTCATGCATACAGGTAATTTATCGCATGTATGAATTTTTACTTCTACTATAGGTTTTTCAAATTTTCAAATAGCTAATCAGAAATAACATACGCCCTCCTTCACCCTTCTACACACATTTTCATGCACTTTCCGAAGGATGTAAGAGCTGCTCTTAACCTTAATTTCAAATCATAGCTAGTGAATCGCGCAAGGAGCCAGCAACTCGGGGAGTATTCACACGACTAGGAATCATCCTTTAACAAAATAAGGTACTTTTATTTCATAATTTAATTAGCTTTGCTCTTTCTCACCCTCATCAGTTTTTTTCATTTTTNAAGCACAATTTCACTTTTGAACATTATTTTTACATCTTATTCTTGAATTATAATTGACATATTTTAACAAAACTTAATTATTATTGGCAAAAAAATTTTTAGTTAGGAAAAACTACTTTATACATCGAACTGAGCACATTTTTTTTTAAATTTAAAATATATCCAATCCCTTATTGCAGAAACATGTCTGATAGGACATGAAGAGTTAATATTAAAGGAATGGTATTTGCATGGCAAATAGGCTTCGTTGAGTTTTTGCAAGCGCTGGGCATCCATTCTCCTTAATATTTATAACTCTAAAAGTGTAAAAAACATGAATGACTTGCACCTTCATTATATTTTATCATATCTGTGCATATATAACAAGTTCAGTTTTAAAAATATTAAGTGCTCTTTCAAAGGAAATGTTTCCGACATTCCAGCTTATACCATGGAAATTGATTATCAACCAACAATTTTGTTTCTTGTCCGCATGTGATAAATTTTTCGACTCAAAAGACGGCTTAAACAGTATTAAAAATGCTATGGAAATACTTTTTTTTCCAAATTTGACGTATGAAATTTTTTTAAAAAGAAATTCATCATTTTCAGTCTTAAGACCCTGGATATCTACAATATACTCCATCACTGAAAGAGAAATATAACTTATTCGGTCGAGGATATACAAACAAATGAATACAGCGATAAAGTACATTACACTAAATATCCAATAAAGTATCCCGATCCTTTTATGTGAATTGAGCATAACTCTTTACCTCAATACGTCTAAAATAGATTTTTCACTGTACACATTTTATTGACGTGTGTGTTATACTTTGAAAACCGATGGCCATATACATTCGGTCATAAAATGCAGGTAGCAAGTTTGTCGGACTTTGGAATATAGTATATTAAATTTTAAGATTCTACAATCTTTAAAATGCTGTTGTATTTATAATGTTTCTTTATTTAACTACAATTTATTTTACAATCTATTTAAAATATATTTTACAATATATTTACAATATTAAAATAAAAGTCATTCCAATTTTAACATGCGACATACTTTTTTTCGATTTTATTTCATTATGAACTTCTTCCTCGGCCTTTTTTTTAAATAAATTCTGAACTTCAACTATTTCTGAAGATGATTCAATTTTCAGCTGTGGAGAAATGAATATGACCACAACTTCTGGTGAAGAGGACAAATCGATAATTTGTGACGCCTGTGCTGACTGGGGTGATGTGCTTAAGTCCAGAGGTGAAATACTCCTAATTTTTGTTTTGAGAGAGTACAAACCCTTGGTATGCGAAAGAGTTAGGGAAATCGGTGATTCTCGAACTACTTCAGTTTCACCGCCTGAGGAACATGAATCCTTATAATCTGTTTAATAAAAAGTAAAAAAAATAATGTTAAAAAAAAAAAAAGAAAAAACTAGCTATTGGAATTTGGATACGTTATTTCTAAACATCATAACGAAGACCATTATTCTGAGATATCATGGTTGGCATTTATTTGATGCGAAACCCCCCTATTAATTGGTCTATTTGTTGAATGATAATTTATAAAAGCACATATAGTTAAAATGTTTGAAATCAAAATTTATTAATAAACTGTGAAAAAAAGTTTGAATTAAATATAAGTTATAAGCCACAATAGAAATGCAGTGAAAAGTCACCACCATCTAAAGATATATTGTGATTAAGCTGTTATAGTGCTCAGCTTGTATGCACGAAAGGGTGAGTTCGAACCTCGTGGAAATTGTTGATCGTTTTTTTTCTTCTTTCTTTAAAGAACTAAAATAAAAAGTTAAATAACATTACATATTTCATGAGAGTAGAAAATTTTAAATCATTGATTACTCCCGTGAATAAACTACCTATAGAACTATAGAAATACAACTTCAAAAAACTTATTTATACTGAACCACAGTTTTTTTAGCTTTTAATAAAGAAAGTTTTCAACAAAGTACGAATAATAAAAAATTACTGAACACTTAATGAATTATTAATAGATAAAAAATAAGTGCATCAATTGTCAAATCTTCAAGTTAGGCAGAAAAAGTTTGATAAGTAATAAAAAAATGAAGCTGCGGCACGTATCTGAGTCTGTTTTCTTTCTTTTTGGTACTACACGCATTCAACCAGTATATTTTAGTTTTTAAAGTATTCTGTTAACATTTACATTTTTTCATTTTTAATAATTTTTTTCTTTTTTCAGTAGAAACTTTAGTTTTAATTCGCGTTTACACTGAAAAATCGATTTATAAGTAGTTTTTAGAAGTAATGTGTTAAATGTATGAAAAAAAAAGTATCCAAAAATTTTTTTATCGGATACTGTAAACCCACAAACTCTAATCAACACTTAAATAAAAGCAAGTGTGCGTAGAATTATTTATAACGCCACAGCAAAACTCATGTACCGATTTTGAGATTTTAACATTCAGAACTAATTATTTTTTATAGAAAATTGTAAGCTTCCATGAATTAATTAATTAAAATTGAATATCACGTACACTTTAGAAAAGTGTAACCTCCTAAACTAAGGAGCTAATGCTTACTAATAAGTAATCTTTATCATTCCTGCACTACAGAACTGTGCCAGACAACTTTAAATTGAAAACTTTTTCAGACTACATTTTATACTCTTAATTATCTAAGCAAATGCATTTTATACAATATACATATTATTATAAGTTAAGATAAACTACATATATTACAGAATATGGTTGAAAGCAGTATTCTAGCAGTGTAGTGTGAGGAGCATGTGTGACGTATATGTCTTCGTACTAAATCATATATTTAAATGAAATGAATTAGTTCTAGCGTATAAAAAACAGTTTAACACATGAAAATTAGCGTCCAACTAATGAATAAAACTTACTGGTTTGTTTTGCAATTTAGCGGGCTCCACTGAGTAAACTGATCTTGGTCTACCCACTATGTGACTCCAGCCATCTTCAATTGTCCCCAATCCTCCACCTGGCAACATTTAAAATAGATTGGTTAAATACTTCAGGAAAATTTATTGTTATCTGTTTATTTGATGGTCAAAAAATGCTGCTGATATAGCTTGAAAGTTAAAAATTAAAAATGCAAGAGCTTAATAACTTTAAAGGATGTCAGTTGATAAGTAAAAAAAATCAGTGATGGCTTTAGATCCTTTCAAGGTCGTAGTTTATTAAAGAAATTTTAACATTTCAAAGGTATGATGGACTTATTGATTTCCCCTCTACTAGGTTCCTATCGTACGCACATTCTGGTCTTCTCCTCCACTGCTAAAAATGTGCGTATAGTTCGGCTGATTTGCCACAAAGGGCGCTCAAAACAGTGGAAAAAAAGCAACACACTCTCTACCATGAGCACTGGAAATCTCAAGTTTTATAAATTGTCAGAGGACAGCCCTCCAAGTATCTTAGAAAATTATGTTGATCAATTGATTGGTTAATATGTTAATAGGGGTGTTTGGGACCTGGATTCAAGTTTTGATATATTACGTATACATAATAATAATACTCACTTAGCAAGAGCATATGGACTAATAAAAATACACAAAGAGATCTGCCAGTCCATATTATAGTGACCACGTTAAATTCACCTACGTATCGATTCGACAAAGCTATTGGCTTTTTTTCTGAATAATTCTTGACCTCGTCTAAAACACTTTCTAAAAAACAGTCATGAATAACAACGATCTTTTGATCAAGTTCATATCAATGACGATCATAGGTTGGTTTCCTTTGATGTAACTTGTCTCTTCACTAATCCAAATATTGGTTAGAATGGCATTAATTAAACAGTAAGATAAATTCGACTTTACCAGAATTTCTTAAGTGCAGAACCTTCTGTTATACTTGTTTCAAACTTGACAGTAAATATTATAAACAAATACATGGTGCACCAATGGGTAGTTGCTCAAGTCTACTTTTTGCAGAACTTGCTTTCAATGCTTTGAATTGCATTGTCTTGGATTACAAAAAAGGTGCATCATATTTTATAGAAGATATGTGGATGACTGTTTCGCGATAATTAATAAGGATAACATTGATGAATGTTTATCTAAATAAAATAATTTTGATAAGAATTTGTCATTTACCATTAAGCAGGAGAAAAAATCCAAAAAATTCTTGGAGAGGGCGGAGAAATCATGCATAATGGGCATAATTGGTAAAGAAAAGCCACTTACTCGAGCAGACTCATTCATTTTAATTCACACTAATCAATTCATCAGAAAAAGCAACCAGTTTAAGTATAGAAGATAAAGCAACAAAGTTATTATATGTACCTTTCCACACACAAAATATAAATATAGTTAAAGATCCGCTAAAAAGTAATGGATACCTACCCAAATCCATAATGGGAATATCAAACACATGCTATATTATATACAAAATAGTCATATAAAAAATATAGTGATACTCGTCTAGATAAAAAAAAAAAAATTAAATTTGATTGTTATTCCGTACATTAAAAAATTTTAATCACAAGCTTCGAACCATATTATTAATATAGTTCACATATGCAAAATCTTGTGACATAGTTATTTAAAAACCAATTAACAAATTTTTCAGATTTACAATATAAAATTAGAAAAAAATAATATTAACAAGTTAAACAAATAAGGTGTTCTTTATAAGACTGATCGTATACAATGTAAGATGACGTTATAAGACAAACCGGGAAAAAACTCAGACTGCGCATGTGCGGACATAATCATAGCATAATAAACAAAGATGATAAGTCTGCTGTTGCATTGCATGCATATCAAAATATGCACAAAATTAATTTTGAGAATGTTAAATTTATAGTTATTCAGTTTGACTCGCACATTACGCGTTCTTTTAATTTTAAATTTTACCATCAATACTTTATCCTTTTTCGTACTTATATTCCCTACACGTATGAAAAACCTTATATTGTTTGTCCGGACAAGGGAGTACAATATCTAAGGCACGCATACTGCTCCTTTACTTTGAAGATAAAATTGGCATTTACGTAAGTTTTCACAAAATTCACTAGTTGAATATGCATCATTTTAATGGCTTCATCCCAAATAATTACTTCTACATTACGTAATTTTGTTTTATTTGGCTTAAACTGGAAGAACTCACTTTTTATAGTGCTTAAGTCTAAAGGAAGTCTGAAAGTTCTGTGAGTGGTAATTCCCTTTGGAAGCAGAATAGAAGCAATACCTGTCCAAGCTATTGTAAGAATTTTTTTTTAATTGATATAAAATAATAAATTAATGTTTTGTATAGAAAAGTTTTTCCAGATCACGCAATGAAAATCAAATAATTTTGTAGGATAAAAAAAAAGAATAAAAAAAGAATTAAAGTGATAAAAATCATTACTTGAAAGTACTGTCTTTAAATTGGAAAAATAAAATTAAGAGTAACTAATTTATTTTAGGATTAACAAATAAATGAAAATTAATTCAATTGCATATAAAAGAGATGCTACTGAAAAATATTACATTTAAGTTTCAAACAAAATGATTACTTTTAGACCGATCAATCGAGCATGACGGATAGGTGTTTTATCAAATAAATGCCAACCACGATATCACAGAATAATGGTCTTCGTTANTATATAAAAATTAGGCATTAGTCAGGGGAAATGAAAAATGATTGTTAAAAATTCATGTAATTATTTATGATTAATATACATTTATTAGATATTTCAATTTCAAGTAACAATTAATATGATTCGTGTTTTTTTCCATACTTCGTAAATCTATACTTGCAATTCCGGGGGTTGGTGCGCAGAGCGCGCAGGGGGCAGATATAGTCATAAGAGTTTAGAACGAGTTTTTAGAGCAATTTATTGACACATACAGGATAGGCAGCTCATTTAAAAAAGGGGGCCACTAGAAGGAATAATAAAGCTCACCAAAAAAAAAGTCAAGGGCACATCTCTCTTTTTATATAAACTTCAGCACTTTTATTCGAAATTAGCAGCTTGTTCTTCATATTTCCTTAAAAGCAGCCCAGTAATCATTTCCCAGCGTAGAACATGTATTCCCGAGTATTTCCGAAAAATGCCATAGTCTTCCGAATCCTGTTAAATATACTTTAACATATTTTCTTTCATACTAACAATTAATTTTACCTTTTTTTAAGGCTTTATAAAATATTAATGCAAAGCTTATTTTGAAAAAATTAGACTTATAACACAATATCTATATATTACTTTAGAATAACTTTAATAATTTATTTTACTTTGTTGTATTAAAAAAATAATTGTTTTTCTCTTCCGATTTCTCTTTATTATTCGAAGCTCTGTACATCATTTTACTTAAAATGATAATTTATTTCGATTCTTAAATCATATTTTTCACCTTACACAATCTGTTCTTCAATTCTCTTGATTAATTCTTTCAGTTCTGTTTAACTTCTTTTAATTATTTTTAAAGTTTAAACAGTATTTTTTTTCTTTTTACGACTAGTGCAGTACTATTAAATGAATAAAATTTATTGTCTTTTTTTTCCTTATAAATATCAAAGTATTGTGTTTTTGTTCAACATTGAAATTTGTCATTGTTTATAAATCTTCGATGCCTTATCTTAATTATTTATTTTATTTTATTATTGCGTCATACTTTCAA